ATATTTACGAAAACAATAAAATTATTACATTTGAAATTTTATACTATTAATTTATTTGATTTATAATTGATATTTTTACTTCTTTTTGATATTTTTATACGTAATCTCTTATTACTTTACGCAAGTTTACGCAAGTTTTCGCTTGATTTGATTTTTACTATTCGTAAATATTCATAGTTTTACGCATGTTTTCGCTAGTTTTCGACTATTTATGTTTCGCCATATTTAAATTTACTATGCTGTAAATGTTCGTAATTATTATACTTACGTAATATTCCAGAGTTACTATAGCATAAACTTTCGTAATTATTACACCTACGTAATACTCCAAACTAATCGTAAATTTTCGTAAATTTACGCTCGCGTAAAAACTTGCGGAGGTTTACGCCTATTTATTTTTGCTCATTCTGGATGAGACAAAGGCTTAATTAGCTACAATATTTTATCAAATAAATGTAAAGATAAACAAATAATTTAATTATATAAAATTTTTTTATTTTTTAAATTTTTTTTAAACTATTTGCAAAAGTTTCAAAAAAAAACTATCAAAAATAAAAAAAAAAACCTGCAAAAAAACTAAAAAAAATCTGAAGTAGTTATGATTAATTCTGAGGATTCAAACGAAAGTGATAAAAAAGAAAGCTCAAATATTAATAAACTTGAATATAAAGAATACCTTTTAGCATTAAAAGAATATGGAATGACTTTAAGAGAACAAAGGTTTATTCAATTGAATTAGCAAATTGTAAGAAAGAGCAATAATTAAAGTCAACAAGTTAAAGTTTAAGGGCTTCTATTTGGATTTTGAGAAATTTTCTAGTGCAATAATCTTTGGTAAAAAGTTTAATTAGTTGAAACAACTTTGTAAATTAGTTATTATTAGTTATTGCATGGTTTTAATTAATATTATTGGTTAGCTATGTAATCATATAATTTATTTGATTAAAAAAAATTTTTTTTCAAAGTTTAAGTAGCTCAAAAATGTAAATTAATTAATTATCAGTAAACTAGCATAATTGTATATATGAAAAAGATTTAAAATAACAGTGATAGTTTTTGTATTACTATAATAAAGCTATCTTGTAAAATCTTAATTTGTAAGAGTATACAATTCGCAAAATCTTCAACATTTCTAAATTTTTTAATAGAACAGCAAAATGAAAATTAATACCAAAGAAAAATTGATGCTAAAAAAAATTGATGTTGAAGAAAAATCAAAGCAAAGAAAAATCAAAGCAAAGAAAAATTAAACCAAAAAAAATTCAAAGCAAAGAAAAATCAAAGTGAAGAAAAATCAAAGCAAAAGAAAATTGATATTAGAACAAGTATTTTTTTTTTTTTTTTTAAGTTTTTTTTTAAATTTTTTTTGTAACTTATCTTTTTTTTTTTTTTCTTTTTAAACTGGTTATTTTGAGCTTAGTAATTTTTTTTTTTTTTTTTTATATAAAGGATAAAATGTGCATGATTTCAAAATATATGTATAATTTAATTATAGTAGAATTTTTGTAAGGTCATATAAAATTAAATTCTTTATAAATATACTATATTATTTTATATATAATATATATTATAAATATAGTATGCAAGTTTTATATATTCAAATGCAATTTTTGTATTATACTCTACTACTCTACTAAACTATACTTTACTACTATTCATAATATCGACTTTTAAGGCCAAACCAACTTAATTCTTCATTTAATATAATATAAAATAATTGTAAAAAGAGATGGGCATTAGGGAAAAAACAAAATTATTAATACTGCAATTTTATTTATATAAAATTTAAAAGATTGGGGGGGAGCAAATACTATTAATTATTATTAATATGTATTAAGTTCATATAAATTTTAAAAAATAGGGGGAAGGGGTTATGTTAAACAAAGAATTAAATTGGTCTGGTCTAAAAAATAGAATTTATATCATTTCTTTCGAAATAAATATGTTACTTATTTTATTTAAAATCAGACGTCGAATCATTAATTCTAAAACCCATTACTAGAGATGGGCAAATTACAGATTCTTCAATAACCCCGCATGTCATGTATAGGATAGAATCACAAATCTGCAGGTTTCTTAATTTTTCGTGTCTGATAAAAAACTATGCAAAAATTATTATTAAAAATCAAATTTCTTATTCTACTATAAATTTTCGAAATAGAAGCATGGTGTTATAACCCCTTTAGCATTAGCAACTTAAAAAATTTACAAGTCAAGTGCTAGCTAATTAAATTTTTTTTTTTAATAAACATTAATGATATGATACATTAAAATATATTTTTTTTTAAAAAAAAAAAAAAAAATTATAAAATATTTATTTAAAACCATTTTTTATTTAAAATTTAATAATTTTTTTTACAAAAAAAAAAAAAACAAAAATAACAAAATTTATATAAAACCATCCTGGTGGTCTAATTAAAATGCTTTGCACAAAATTTTGCTAATAGAAACTTTGCTCTAACTCTAACCCTAACTCAACTACAAACTACAATATTAAATTCTTGGTAAAAATTATAGAAAAAAACAACTTTTGTAGATGCATTACCTACCCTAACCCAACCCAAACTATAATGCCAGATTTTTAGTAAAAAGAACCAAAGAAAGCATTGTCAAAAGAATGATAAAAAGACCACTAAAAGATGACAAGAAAGTCTCCCCCAAAAAAAATAAGAAAAGTACTGAAAAAATCACTAAAAAAGCAATGAAAAAGTGGCAAAAAAAGCATCAAAAAAGCAATAAAAAAGTGGGGAAAAAAGAAACCAGCAATGAAAGAAAAATATTAACCTAAAAAAAAAAGAATGCAAAAAAAGTATTAAAAAGAACAAAGCATCAATAGAAAAACCAAGTAATCACTAAAAAAATAATGAAGAATGACAGAAAAACCATAAAAGAATCTAAACCTAAATCAAAAGAAAAAATGATGAAAAAAACAAAATGATGAAAAAAACAACAATGAAAAAGAAACAAACAATGAAAAAAAAACAACGAAAAAAAACACGCTAAAAAAACAACGTACGTACCTATTTATAGTACAGTCTTGGATATTATCAAATAAGGAAATCAGCCTATCACTAATAAAAGACTATTCTAGAATTAAAAAACATAGTATTTTTATCTTTTTAAAAAAAAATTCATTTAATAATAAATCTTCGAATTAATTTTAATATAGATTGTCCTGTGACTATATAGTCCAGGAATCCCGCATAATCCCGAGAGCTTTAAAAGGCAGCTGTTTACTAAATACAAAGATAAAAGATGATTGAATGCAAATTTAGCTCTAAAGATCATCATAGATCAAAATAAATTTAAATAGAATTGTCTAGAATTTTCTAATTATACAAAAAAAGATATGATCTGCATTATCCAAATTTGGTAATATCTGAGACTGTAGTAGTTGATCGACATATCACATGATAGCAAAATTTTTTTATTGGTTACGCTAGAGTCTTATATGATGTTATTTCGTATTTTGGCCTGAATTAAGCTTAATTCGGGTTAAATTCAAAATAATGCTCATGCGTTAATGCAGGCTAGATATTATATTAATGCCAGCCAGATGATAAGGTAATGCCAGCTAGATAATTTTATCTGGGATCATATTAAAAATCTCGCACGTGCTCATCTCTACCAATTACTGGTGAATAAAACTTTGGAAGCTTGCAAGTCAAGTAATTAAATCTCAAACAATTTAATATGTTGAAGAACTTTATATTTTAAGTGAAATACACTGGCTGACAAGAGCAGTTTTAGAAAAAAAAAAGAAAAAAATTTTTGCAATTCATTTAATTTATTGCTATTCAGAGCAGACTAGAATATACGATGTACGTATGGGATTATATATCTAACATTTTTTCAATTCAGTGATTTATTAGCTATAAAGATTCAATATAGTAAATGTTAATAACTTTTGAAAAATTTCTCCAAAATATTCGCTTTATTATGGAAAACGTTGACACAATTCAAAAATTCTAAATTAAAACAGACTGGATTGGAAGATGTGATATGCATATGTCAATGTATATTTTCATGCTCATATATTACGTAATGCGTAAGTGAAAATATATATTAATAAAAAAAAGAAGCGTATAAGAAACTCATATCTGATAGATTCTGAAATCAGTGTTACACAAACTATTTATATGGTCAATTGGAAATTTGATATACGATTGTAGTCTAAAAACTGGCAAATTTACAATCTGCTTACTCATAATAAGTTAAACTAAAGGTACTCTATTTATTAGTAAAATATCTTCGTTTTGAGTGCCTCTAATAGAGATCTTTATCTAATCGTTTTCAATCGCTTTCCCCAGTGAGTTTTCATAAGAGTAAAAGTAGGTGTTAATAAATTATAGGGCTTGTTTATTTTATATTATTGGTGGTTCAGTGAGCTTCTAACACATCTAAACCACTAAATTATTAGAACAAACTTCGTCAAGATTTGTCAAGATTTCTAAGCCTAAATATCTAAACTAATATACTTTGTAGCTCTATATTTTCAACAACCGGGTTGGATAGTATATGAAATATTGAAAAAAAATATTATTACCTCAAAACACTGTAGCTAACAATATTGTATTCTATTATGAATAAGTGTTACTCTCTCAACTACAATGCTTTAAATTCAATTGTCAAAAATAAGTTTAGTATAAGTTTTTTGTTTAGTTTCTGCTAATTCGAAGTAAAAAAAAAATAAGTTTGAGAAAACGATACTTATTCATAATAAAATTGCTTAATAGTATGTTAATATGCTGGTTTCATAAGCTTTTAAGAAAATTTTCACTGCTAATTAAATTAAATTATTTCTAGATATTTCAAGACGATTGAATTAAATTTATAGCCCAGAATATATATATAGGGTCGAAAAATCTGGCTTTATGACTTACTAAATTGGCTTCATAAACAAAGAGTATATAGGTCTTTGCCTTGAAAATGACCTTATGGTACATGATACTATAAGGTCATTTTCAAGGTATATAGCAAAAATTTTACTGACTTTTTAATACAGTATTTACCATTATTTATTCATTTACTTTTTTATTATTATTGAAAAGAATCCAACTATAGAAGTTCTAATTTGCCTGAATTCGTCTAAATATTTTTGGTTGCTGATAAATGCTATATAATGATTGTGACTCTTAGTCCCAGTCTACAAGTTTAAGATTTGATATTACTGTATATTGGTATGTTAGTACATAATTAGAGTATTCAAGAATTATTATGATTCAAAAGTTAATTTATCAACTTAATCAATAACAACCATCTGTAAATCAAGATATTTATTTTTAAAAAAAATGATGATAATAAAGCAATATGATATTTAAAGTAAGTATATTTATTTCCTTTTTTTCTTTTATCTATATTGATTTTAAATAATGTAACAGTTATCTAACATTAAGATATTTAAAATGAGCGATACCAAGAGAAAAGACACTTTAATTAATGCTTTTTCTCTTGGTAACACTTAAATAGACTATTCGAAAAACATAATTCTACGTAGAGATGGATTTTATGCATGTGCATGATTCCTCAATCGTGTGTATTTATGTGCATGATTTAGAATCATATGCATTTTATCCCATCTAAATTTTATATAGAAAAATTGAAGTATATTTAATTTAGGCCAAGATATATAATGCCAGACAAAATTAAAAAATAGGAATGCAGAAGTTTTGAAAAATTCTGAAAAGAAAATGAATGAGCATAAAGATTAGAAGGGTCAGGAAAAATTTTTGGCAAGTATCCGATATTTTCCAGAGGGAAAATATAAAATCAAAAAAAATTATATCATGTATATTTTATATAACATGCACATTTATGCGCATGTTATTATAAAATGTGCATTTTTTCCATCTCTAATTCTACATGATAATATTTAAGTTATTTATTTTGTAAAAAATATTAAACTTGTTTAGGTTGGTTAGTTCAGAAGGGTTGGGTGATTTGAACTAAAACCTGAATCTGAAATTATTCTCATCAACCCATATCAATTTAAATCAATAAATATTTAAATGAATTTTTTTGACTCAAATCAAATAACATTAGTTCGAATCAATAAATATATATATTTTTTCATTGAATTCACTCAATTTGAGCTTGATATCCTATTACTTTTCGAAATAAATGCCATTGTAGACTTTTTTCTGAAGGCTTACTTGGACTTCAACAAATATTTTATTATTTTTTGCTATTACAGGACATTAGATTGAATAATTAGAAACTTCAAAGTGCTATTTAATTTTATGAATTAATTTTATGATAATAAATTATGATCTGATCTACGCAGATTGGGTTTGGGTTCAATCCTAAACCCGACTCTAATGATCTTTTTGGAGCACAACAATTTTATTAAAAGTTCATTTAGCCAACATCACAGAGTTAGTATTTTACAAATATATTTTTTTAGTAAATTGTTATTTGATAAGATGTTGGCTAAATGAGCTATTAATAAAACGATTGTCAATAAAATAAGGCAAATCTATATGTAACGGTAAATACTTATAAATTATATTAAATAAATTTTATTTAGTAATGATTTACTTTTAAAAAATTATATAAGAACCTGTTATCTGTGTAAATAATTTTATATTTTTAGATAGGCAATTTCTATTTGTTTGTATATGAGTATATAAAAAACTAACTATATCTCAAAATTTTAATTATTAAACTACCTTTTGGCTTCTAACAAAAAAAACTTTGCAAAATATTGATACAAATTAATTCTTTTCCAATTTCAAACCTACTCTTACTTTAATTATAAATGAAGGTTTAATTTTTCATTTATAAAAATTATTTGATTGTTATATTATACAAATTTATAAATCAAAAATTAATAACTGTATATAAACACTAGTATAAATTAATAATTTTTTTAAATACTGTATTACTATTTATAAATTTATAAATACAGTATATAGTTTAAATTTTAAAATGCCTCGTCAAAAGCTTACAAGACCTTGTGCTGTTAAGGATTGCATTAGTTCAGTTAAATTTTTTAGAAATGTAACACAAGATCTTAAAGATAAAACTGATAAGTATTTTGATTCACAATATAATTATTTAAAAGTTAATCAAGATTAAATTTGTTTTGAACATTATATGAGTATAGTTAACTTTGTTGCAACTCAAATATCTGAAAATAAAAAACCTAGAATTTTTATAGATTTAGGTGATATTATTGAAACTATTGAAATTATTTCAAATAATACACCAGTTGATAATACTGATTATTTAGAACAAAAATATATTGAATAATTTTTCAAATATAAAGATAAAAATTGTTGATAATGGTGTATTTATTGATTGAACAAATTTTAACAAATTAATTAATAGTATTATTAATTATGAAACTCAAAATAATAACAATAATAGTTTAATACAAGAATGTAAATTTATTATTATTATTATTATAACTTTTAAATATTAAAATATAATATTATAGTATAATTTATAATTTAAATTTCTTTATTTTATAGCATCACAAAATATATTTTCTAATCAATTACAATTATTAACAAAAGTTTTATATAAATATGAAAAACAACATAATGATTATATATTAGATCCAAATTGTTTTAAACAACTAATTGAAACAGAAGAACCTCAATTAACTAGATTTTTAGATGAAATGACAAGTGTATTAGTTCCTAAAAGAAGAACTGAAAAAAATAAAAAAAAAGCACAACAACAAATTATTAGTCAATGTCATCTTTTAGCTGGATTATGTAGTCAAAATGTTAATAAATATAAAACTGATCTTAGTTTATATTTATCATCTTGTGGATTAAGTACAACTGGAATTGATTTTCTTATGAAAGCTAGAATAACTATAAATTCAAAACATTATATAATTATAGAGAAAAAATTAAAAATAATTATTTAATTACAATTAATAAATATTTTAATTCATATGTAAATAAATTTTTATATTATAATAATTTTTAAAAAAAATCTATTTGTAATAGCATGTTACATAACAGGTATTAATGTTTAGTTAGTGTTAATATTAGTATTAGAGTAGAGTTAGTGTTGAGTTAGTGTTAAAATTAGTGTTAAAATTAGTGATAGAGTTAGATTTAAAGTTAGTATTAAAATTAATACAAAATTGCGAAAGAAGCATTTTTTTGTTAGTAGTACAAAAGAGATTACTTTAGTAAAATTTTGAGTTATAGCAAATTTAAAATATACCTGTTATATAACATACTGTTACAAATAGATTTATTCTAATTTTAATATAAATTTATTAATTATAATTTATTTATAAATTATATTTAGATAAACAGTTTTCATTGTTTTAATATTGATGATTTTCATAATATTCATACTTTACGACAACCAAATAATACAACACTTTCAACTGCAAATCATTTAGCAATATGTGTAACTAAATTAATTGAAAATCAATAGCCAGTTCTAGCAATTTTAAATGGTTATTCATTTTTTAATCCAGAAAATATTGAACCAACTAGATTTAACTTTTAAATATAATAGTTGTTTTGATAAAAGTTATAATGAATATAAAATGGAATGAATATCTTTTAGAACTTTTCAAATTAATTCTCAAAATCATATTGATTTATTAACTTTACATATATATGATAATGCAATTAAAGAGCGTAAAGAAAAAAGATCTATGAAAAATATAAGAGTTGTTAAAGTTAAAAAATCAAATTTACATTTAATGAATAATTATTTAAAAGCTCTTAAAATGATTACTAATATTAATATATTATCATATTATGTAAAAAATAATATAATACCAGTTATTGCAGATTGGCCAGGACAATTATTTATTAGAAAAATAATAACACAATCTAGATTAAATCCAAATTTAATACCAGAAAATGTTAAAAATTTTATTCCAATTTTAGGTCCACTTCATGTTTCTTTAAATTTTCAAGAACAAGTATTTCTTGTTCATTATAAATTTTTTGAACAATTTTTTCATTTTGTTTTTGGTAATAAAAAAAATTAGCTAAAAAACCAAGACTATGGAGAATTAATTTAATTTTAGAATTAATTCATGAAGGATAGAAAGCTATAGCTCATATTATATTAGCTAAATTTGATGTTACATGTAAAGATATAGAATATCGAATGCTATTAGATATTTTAAATAATTTAATATCTGCAGCATTAGATATATATGCTATATTATTTAGATCAGGTTTATTTGATCAATATATTGAAACTATATTTAGATTATGGACATTTGCATTAAGATGGAAAAGAAAAAATTATAACAAAGCATCTTTAGTATTTCTTTCAGATTATTTTTATTGGAGTGATACAAATCATCTATTAGCAGAAGTATTATCTAATCAATTAGTTAATTTTAATGATTATTTTGTAGAAAATATGCATAGTCATCTTCGAGCAAATATTAATTTACATAATACTATTAAAGAAATTAAACAACAAGCATATATATTAGATTATAATCGTAACAAAACTCAACTTAATATTTTTAAATCATCAAAATCATATATATATAATTCTAAACAATTAGATTATTTAACAAAAAAAGTAGTTTATTTTTGATAAACCATTTTCAAAAAGTTTATCTTAATCTTAATAAGAGCAAAAAAATACAAAAAACTACTCAATATTTTATAGTTGGATTAAATGAAAATGTAGATTCTAAATGTCTTCCAACTGGTTACCTTACATCAGTTAAACCAACACAAAATACATGTAATAAATGTAAAAAATCATTTAGTAAATTAAATGGAAAAGTATATATTTGTGAACATGCATATCATACAAATTGTTATCAACAATTACATTTAGCATGTAATTATTGTTTACAATATTACAAAAAAGAGATTTTTTCAAATATTAACTCATTTATAAAAAGATTAGAAAAAACTGGTAATGATGAATTAACTAATAATGATATAGATGAAGAAGATTTAAATGAAGAATTAGATAATAATTATAGTAATAATGATAATGATAGTGATAGTGATAATAATAATAATAATAATAATAATATAAATCAAAAACTTCAAGAAGCAATAGAATATATTAAACAATTATAATATTATTGTTAAAATATAATTTATTTTATTTTAAATTTTTTAAATTTTCCTTCAATAGACAACATTAATGCAACTACCGCCTCCAAAATAATGATGTTCTCCATTAATAATGGGCCATTTTTGGAAGAGAATGATGTAAGTAGACGGGTAGAAAAGCCTATTTACGTGGAAAAACCAATTAATGACGGTCAGACTCAATGTACAGAGCAGACTCTGGTTTCTTGCACAGCCGTGAAAGCCAGGCATACGGTGAGCGACTCTATAGAAGGCACTCAAAAAGTCTTAGCTCCCAACCCATCAAATCCTGCTAAGACCCCC